GTTACAGTATACTGTAACACCGGCCCTGCGTCTACTGTAACACCGGCCCTGCTTCTATGGATAGATCTGATACATTTACATCATAGACTCAAGTGCTCATGTTGATTCATGTGCATTTTCCCTTCCTAAATGCATATACATTATTGCGAAGGTGTCGGTTTTGCATTGTGAATCGGTTTTATGGTAAAAGATGTAAGACACCAGAACAGTGTCGGATCAGCAGGGTGGAGTAAGCAAACCAGAACAGTGCACTGAGAAGAACCCACGTGATATTCCGACGGAAAATATCTAATTATGAATTAATCAAGAGACCCCCTTTTGAAATAATTCATAGTGTGCCTTACCAGTTCCTCTGGTGTCCGAGTCTCTCCTTCGCTGCAGCAACATCGGCAACAAAAACAGTTTCCACAACACGCCATCTTCGCTGTTGTGTCACGCTGCGTTCAGTGGCTTTGGTAAAAACGCATAGCACAGAACTATCTAATTCACTAGAAACACCTTACACATTTAGTGTGTAGAACAACAGACAGCTTATTTGACAGCATATAAGAGTAGGAGCTGTGTCTTAATATTTGATTTTTCAATATATGATGATAACGTTATTGCTCTTTGAAAAGTAATATTTCCCATGACATTTAAACGCAGCAAGAGCAGCTACCCCTATTTGTCAAAATGCGGAATGTTATTCAAAATAGTCAAAACTGTGTGTCATTTACGCATAAGTTTAATATTATATCATAACCGCATTTCAAATTCTTAAAATCAATGCACAATTAAAAAGTATCACCCTATGGGAATGTGTAAGAAAACCAATTAATTTGTGATTGAGCTATTGTAATCATTGTTTACAATATTAAAAACAATGGTATTCACTGCTGCGTTAGCTTACTTTCTTCTTGTTGGTTTAAAAAAAACAAAACGATTTACATTTTAAAAAACAACTATTTAGCAGCTATTAATAAAGGTTATTTTTTAGACATTTACACAATCAAAGGTGTTTAAGTCAGGGGCCCTTTCTCCTTTCATCAATTCCCCATCCTCGACTCCTCGGTCCTCCGATAGTGACCCGGAAATCAATTTCAGCCGCCATGTTGAAGGACATCTAATTGATCTAAATGCACATCGAGGACCAAGGATCGAGCATCAAGGAGGAACCTCCTTGATGCTCGATCCTTGGTCCTCGATGTGCATTTAGATCAATTAGATGTCCTTCAACATGGCGGCTGAAATTGATTTCCGGGTCACTATCGGAGGANTGGAAGACCGTCGGGTGCGAGGTGTACAGGACGCCCAACATCAACCTCCTCAGGCAGGAGGCCGGACGACTCCATTTAGGACGAGTCGCACGGCACCACACCATGACGTGTTTTCAGACAGGACTTCTCTCGTATTTTATACAGATTCAATATTATCATTGTAGTTCCTATATTGTACGTGACATTCGACAAGGGCCGACAAGGGAGCACCTAACCAGCCAATGGACACAGAATCGTTCGGAGAACCGGAACCCTAGCCTCTTACTCCTGTAGAGCCTCGGGTGAACGGCAGTACTCCGCCCGCATGAGTTTCGGCACCTTCACTTGTGAGAATGTCATTTGTTGGTTCAGCACTGTCGAGAGAATCTTTCAAACCGGAAACCCTAAAGACGTTTTACCCTCCTTATTTTAAGGTTTTTTCAGTTACTAATTTAGACTTTGGGGTGGTGAAGTTTGTAAAGTTGTCGTACACATACCACATCGTCACCGGTGTCCAACCTTACATTGGGACTTTTCAATCCGGTATTACATTTAATATAAAAATTCCAACAGTTAATTTAACGGTTGAATAAATTTTTCAAATCTTAATAGTATTATTTAATAATAAATAGACACAAATTTATGATTGATTTTGAATTATTTTATTAACTTTAACCAGAACTTTTTATATTATTTGCTTAATTAAGATTCTAAATAAACAAGAATTCAAAGTTGTTTTGGGAGTTTAGTGAGTCATTCACCGTTCCTAATGTGTTAATACATCGATATCTTTAGATTATTACAGTAATAATAAAGAGATAATATTCTACGAAAACGACTAAGGTAATAAACAGATAATAAGTCGTACGTACCCTGCTCAGTAAAAATCCTTCTCCTAAGAAATCTTATAATGTATTTAAGAAGCCTGTTGTTGTGGTAAAACCACTACAGAGTTACAAGACAACACTTGGAGCTAAACTGAACTAGATCCTTAGTTTAAAAGAATGGTTTTGTCTTTCTTTATCTGTAGGACATCAAGTGAAGAGAGTACGTTCACGTTATAGTATAGTCAAATTCTTAACATGTAATTTCGACTACTATACATAGTTAAAAAAAAAAAGTGTATATATTTATAAACGATTTGACCAGGTCTAACATACCTGTCGGGACTATTGATCATCTACAAGCGATACACACATACGTAACAAATGTGTTTGCCCACTACTAGTGCAAAAAACCAACGTCAAAACAAATCGACCAACTGTTTTACGCAAGGTTGAAAAAACGTGTGTCCAATTTACAAGTACAGTCGTCACCGTCCACAACAACGGGGGGGGGCGTTGGGGGGATACCTTGCCTCTAAACTCACTGATATGTCCTGTTTCCAGTCTTAAAGGAAAACTTCAACCCCTCAAAATCATTTATATAACATTTTCTCACCCGATGTTATCTTAAATTATTCTTACTCTTTGTGAAAGTGTGTTATATAGTAAGGTTTTAGTGTGTTTTTTTTATGTGTTTGGGAAGTGCTGAGCATAAGATTGGATAAATGAGACTTGGATTAAATAGCAAAAGTTGTGTAAGGCACTTTAATTCCTCAAGGATTTTCTATATTTTTTGGATTCTTCGGAGACACAGGAAAAAAACAAAGTTTTCTTTAACAATTCAAGGTACCTCAGAGGGAAGAATTGGTCATTTTGTGGAAAATGTATTCCTTTAATACAGTGTTAAAAGTGCACCACAGTCACATCAACATTAAGTACCACTTAAATAAAAGTCTCACAAACAAACCAATTATTAACAGTAAAATAAAGTATTATGCAGGGTGGTCAATTTCCAAAGAATATATACTTTATTTTTTAATAATAGTTATAAATGCATTTATGCTTTCTTCACTTTAATGTTGTAGCCTGTTAATGTGAAGCTTATTCTAACTTTAATTACTCCAGATATATCCATATGTATTTTTTATTATTTACTTTACAAGTTTTGCCTCCACTGGAAGAACTTTGTTATCTAGACTCTGAGTCTGGTAAATCATGTGATAGAGCGAGCAAATCAAATCAAAACACAGATCATTCCATTATGTCCCTTCTTCCCCACAGTGGCTCTGAACTTCCAGACAGCAGGTCTGGAGATGGATCTGAACGACGGGCTGTTTGCTCAGAACGCCGGCTGTGGCTACATCCTGAAGCCTGCCTTCATGAGGGACGGCAACACTCATTTCAGTCCGGAGAAATACGAGGAGCGGCCTGGCTACACACCTATGCGCTTATCCATACAGGTTCAAAACTGTGTCTTTAGTCAATTTGTGTTTGCATTGTGCAACTTCTAATGTCAGTAAGTTAATGTGAGACAGGTGATGCAGAATCTGTCAGAAAACGACTGAAAAGCAGGAGAGACACAGTGCAAAAGGTTCTCCTGTGCTAGAACAGCAAAGTATCTGATGTGAATATTTGTGTGTTTTATCAGGTGATCAGCGGGCAGCAGCTCCCAAAGGTGAACCAGAAAGAGGGCTCTATAGTAGACCCCCTGGTCAGAGTGGAGATCTATGGAGTGCCACAGGACCAGGCCAAAGAAGAGACAAGTCACATAAACAACAATGGTGAAAACAGAAACAACATATATTGTATTAACATGGATGGTTTTGATGATATGATGAGTCACATCCCAGTCGGTCATGCTCCCTCCTCTGCTGCCCTCTGCCTGCAGGCTTTAACCCGGTGTGGAATGAAACTCTAAATTTTGTCATCCACACCCCTGAGCTGGCCCTGGTTCGCTTTGAGGTGGAGGACTACGACAAGACATCCAGGAACGACTTCATGGGACAGTTCACTCTACCGTTTACGAGCATACAAGCAGGTGAGCCGAAACAGAAATCCCCAGAGTTACAGCTCACTGCGGTGTTCATTCAGCTTTATGCCTGCCGCACTTGGAAAATGTTGTTTACATTTTGATGATTTTGGCTGTCATCATGGATTTGGCTTTTGGCAAGGGTGACAGTTTTCATTTTATTTTGGAAGTTGAACTTCAGCTTCTATAATTAGTATTTAAAAAAGTGTGTAGTTAAAATAAAACTATCATTTATTTTAGATAATGTTTTTTAAAATTATTTTCTACTTGATTTATTTATTTATTTTTCTCATACTGCCTGTGCTGCAGCACCTCTTTTCACCCCCAGAGCCCAGTCTGCTCTGATTGGTTATCTGTCCGGCTCTGTTGTGATTGGTCAACCACTTAGAGATGTCCTGCCCCTTAGCTTATCACTTACAATCTGTTTAAGCGCTAGCCAATAGAAGCAGGAGTGTTACATAGTGATGTCATTTAAAAGTTTGAGATCCCATTGAATATTCATGACTAATGCCAAATTAAGTAGAACTCAACACCAATGTTTTTGCTTTTTCTAAACCTGATTCTTCTCGATGTCTTTCCATTTGCAGGATATCGTCATATACATTTACTCTCTAAAGATGGAACAGCCATCCCTCCCTCCTCCCTCTTCGTCAACATCAGCATCTCAGAACTCACAAGAAGAAGTCAGATCTGAGGATATGAAGTCGGATGTGGAGGTCTTGGCTGGGGAAGCAAGAGAAAAACTTCATCAAACTTGAATCTGTTATTGGATATTTGCCTTGAGGAAGTAGGGTAATGGTCGGGGAACAGAAAAGTTATTTGTTTTATCGATTTTTGATAACCTAAAAAAGCAATCAGCGTGTCAGAAATCAGACTTTGTGTACAGCATAACTCCATAAAATAATCTATTAGATTTCTTTAATAGAGAACTTTATTTAAATGTTATTTAAATTAGTATCATTATAAAATAGTGTTGATGCATCTCCTTTACCTAATTTGCCGAGCAATTACTAAAGATCCAAAGATACCTTGCAGTATTATAGACATTTTTTATATAGGAATCAATTGTGTATATATTCCTGTTGTTATGGCAAATGTGTGCAATTGTCTATTTAACTTTTTATGAAAGTAGCCTAAGAGCTTTTTAAAATGTTGCTGTCTGCAAACAAAGGAACGTTGAGTGCTGCATGTCTAGAAAATCGAAATATACACGTCTGCCTTAACATGTAGTGGGTATGCAGAAGTGAGCTACTGAAATAACTGAAAGTGTAATAATGGAATGTGAAAAACTGCCAAATACCGGTATTATTAACCTAATGTTATAAATGACTTACAATTTAGCATCATGTTGGTTAATCTGAGATTGACTTGAGTTATTTCTATTCACTAATGTACAATTTCCACAAGATAATGTTGTTAATGATGTTATTGTAGATGTATGTATATATAGGCCTGTAACAACATGCAATACATTTCCTGAATTGTTCAAAATTCAGTCCTCTGCGAATGTTTATGACACATTCATTGTTCAAGGTCATTTATTTACTTTATCTACAATAGTTTCTTTATTACAAGAAAATATCAAATTAATTAATTTTTTTTCCCAAATACAACTTACTTTCAATACACACTCTCTCACTTGATAACATGCACTGACTAGAGTTGGCCTATTAAGTGCGATAACAATTATTTGTATTAATTGCATCATTAAAAAAGAAAGAAAGTGTAATTGTATAGAAGTCTATGCGAAAATGGCTCTACTTCTCACTTGATTTATTTCCTCAGAAAGCATTCAATGGATTTCAATTTCAAGTCTTCTTCAATACACCATGTGTATTTGGTAAATGAGGATCATATTTAGAGTAAAACAAACAAGACACAGTGTGTGTTTTAGGGCGGTGTTACCTTGTGATTGACAAACCACTACTAGGGTGACGGTCCAATCATGATAAAGCGTAACAATGGGTATGCCTCCCCAGCTCCACTCTCTTATCCAAATATGGTCACTCTTGGCACAAAAAAAAAAAATGCGAAAGGCAAACCTGGAGTTTCAAAACAGTAGTTCACAAACCAATCATCACACGTCACGGTGACCATATCTACTGACTGCCTATATATTTTGTAATGATGTGTTTTATTAGCCTTGTACAGTATGACAGTTATGTCGCTGTTCATTTTGTTGGTAGTGACCTCACATGACAACTCCATCTTTTGTGCCCTCTCATCAGCATTTTGTCTCACTGTGTTTCTTTCTCTGTAAAACCTCCTCATCTACTTCCTGTTCCGTGTCGGTTGTTTCTTTTTCTTCCACCAATTGTTTTACTTTCTCATCCAGTGTCCCCTGCAAGGCCTCCTTAATGGTTAGGCTTACTGCTCCAGAGTCCCTCTCCACCCCCTGCTCCACTGGCATATCCGGATGGTGCCTCTGCAAATGTTTGACCACCTGGAACCTCTGTTTGGCTTTGTAGGAGCAGTGGCGGCAGCTGAAAGGCTGCTGATTGGTGTGTGAGAGATAGTGATGTCTGAGACCTGCTGGCCACCGGAAGGCCTTCTGGCACAAGCCGCACGTGTAAGGCCGATCGTCACTGTGTTGGCGCTGGTGGGTTTTCAGGATAAAGCTAGTCTTGAAAGCTTTGCCACATTTCTCGCAGACATAGGGCCTTAGGTCGCAGTGCTGTGTGTCCCTGTGAGCACGGAGAGCATCCGCTCGGTTAGTGCGGTAGTCACACTCATCACAGGTGTAAGGCTTGTCCCCTGAAATACAAAAATAAAAGTTATTCAGCATTAAATGCTCAAAACTAAATCTGTAATCTACACTTACAAAATGGAATTCAAAGAAGTTATTCAAAGACTTGAATACAGGTGAAAATCATGCAACAAAAATGATAGCAAAGATATTATGTGTTAAAGGTATAGGCTTAAGTTTACTGAACATCGTAATGATTTACCCACAATAAATCACAATAAATGCCCCACAATAATAATATGCTTTTGCGCAAAAAAAAAAAACAGCTGACAGAGCCAATGTGGAATGTTTAAGTAGATGCATAATTTTCAAAAGTGATTAAGTCATATAACATCAAGCTTTATGTCCTGCTGATACCTGTGTGCTTGGTCATGTGGTACTTCAGCTGAGTCGCCCATTTGCATTTGTAGCCGCACTCTGGACAAAGGTACTTCTTCTCTTCTTGGTGAACCCGCATGTGAAGCTGTGGTAGAAGTTATTATAAAACATAGACAAATAAAAAAAAGTATATATCATGTTCACTCTGTTTTGGGAAATACAGTGCATTTCATATTATAGTATAGAGGAATATAATCATTACACAAGGTATATCATGTATATTTTGAGTTAGCAAGAAAATGCTTTTAGTCCTATTTAGAACATGACGTTTTAGAGCTCTTGAGCTTCATGTGGCCACAGTGAGTATTACCACAAATATTTCACCCACTTCTTATACAGATGAAAGAAAATAAGGAATGTTAAATAAAGTATTCGGGCAAAACCTTTTATCACTTATTCTCACGTCATCAACTCAGGACAGAAAACCGTTTAGACCTCTCTCACATTGCCCTAAGCCTAAGGGCTTCTTATACAGCACTTGTATCTTATAAATAACATACTGTAAACGTACCTTCAATCTAGACGGATCAGTACAGGTGTAACTGCACTGCTCACAGCTGTACGGCTTCTCTCCAGTGTGTATGCGAATGTGCCACGTGATCTTCTGCTTGTTTCTTGTTGAATACTCGCAGTCTGTGCATTTGTACAGGCGCTTGCCTCCATGTGAGCGGAGGTGCTGCTCTAACACCAGCTGATGCCGACAAGCAAACTGACACGAGCTGCACTTGAGAGGCTTGTCCTCCGGAGATCCGTCCTCGTGTTCGCTCAGAAGGTGTTGTGCCAGCAGCTGCCTTGTTTTGGAAGCAAAGGGACACAACTGACACTGATGTGCCAGGTGGCTTCTTTGATGTATCACAAGGCTCTCCTTTGTTTGAAAAGACTCCTTACAGGTGTTGCACTTCACCTGAAGGTGATTGCTCTCTTGGTGAGTCTTCAATGTGACTTCACTTCCACATGTGTAGTCACACTGCTTACATGCAAAACTAACCTGGAGCTGGTGCGCACGTTTACAGTGGTTTCTTAATGCAGCCTCTGTACTAAACTGAGCATCACAATGAGTGCAAGCGTGGCGAAGCTCCCCCGTGTGGCACCTGAGATTGTGACGTCTTACATCATCAAGCGTGTAGCCACTGAGGTCACAGAGTGAGCAGAAGTGTGTCGGCTGCTTGTCGTGGATGCGCATCTTGTGCTGGCGCAATTTGGTCACAGCCCCAAAGGTTTTGTCGCACATATCGCAGCTGTGACGGCCGATTCCTGTGTGAAGAGACTCGTGCTCTTCCAAGCGATAGCGCCTTGTGGTGCTAAAAGGACAAAACCGGCATTGGTGGGGTTGTGCACCTTTGTGTTTGAGCGCAATATGCTGCGTCATGCATCGGTCCTGTTTACAGGTGAAGGTGCACTGCTGACATTGCAAACGTTTAGCACCACCACTCTTCTTTTTGTCATGGGCATACAGGATGTGACGGGTCATAGACAATTGAGATTTGGCTACAAATGAACACATGGCGCATTGGACTTTGTCTGGCTTCAGGCAGCCTCTCTTTTTATGACTGTCTAATGCCCTTTTCTGATTGCACTTAAATGCGCAGCTTGGACAAGAGAAGATTGGATGTTTCTCAGAAACTTTCCCAGTTCTGCCATTATGGTCTTCCGCCAACTCCTCTTTTCCTTTGAACGACTTGCTAGAACCCTCATCCTCCACTTCTGGAATGATCTGACTCATGATTTTTCTGCAGGTTGACAGGTGCCGTTCGACTGTTGCAAGCCTGACTGATGAAAAAGTGCACAGCTTGCATTCAAATTTCCCATCTTTTTTAGCCAAAAGGGACTTCGGCAGTTGGACATTTCTTTGTTTGTTATTAGAAAACTTGTTTGAAAGTTTAACTTTCAAAAGCTTTTTTTTCAGAATTGTGCTTTGCTGCTGTCCTGATTCACTGGATGAATCTTCTTGTTCTTGCTGATCAAATTCCTGATCGCTTGAATCCGAGGAAAGACTATTTTGCGAAAATAGAAGCTCTGTCTGATTGGAATTTGTTTCCTCATCTAGTTTTTTGGATCCCTCCTGGCCTAGAGTAGAGTTGTCTTCTGCTTTATTTGAATTTCCTACAAATGTCCTTGTTTTTCGTGGAATGGCTGGGCACTTTTTTGCAAGGTGGCTATCAAGGCCTCGCCTCTGTTTAAACTGTGCACCACAGGCTTGGCATTTGTGTCCCTTTATCCTACCTTTACACAAAGCTTGGCAGTGGTACTTCAAAGCGGTCTTCTTACTGGTTACATAAGAGCATTTGTCGCAACGATAAACGTCTTCAGTTGGCACAACAAGCATCTGCACCCGTCCCTCAAGAACCATGGCCTCTGCCTGGTCCTTGTCATGCTTCTTCATAGCTTTTAGACGGATCTCAGATTCTAATGGCTGATTTTGTTCAGCTGGATACGTGGAACTCATTGGTCCACCTTCATTCTCCACCTCAGGTGTTTGACACCCCCCAGGTTCAACTGGTTGACTTGTATCATTCTCGTCTAAGTCACTTTGTTCACATTCTGCATCTGCCATAGATACATTGTCTTCCTCTGAGGAAGATGTAGAGACGTATGCTTTCTCTTGGGATGTGTCAGAGACATTGGAGTTTAAATTGGACAAGCTTGGGGTTTTCTTTGCACATCTGTCTTCTTGATTTTGCAAAGAGTGGTTCTGATAGTCAGCCGTTGAGAGTGTTGTTAAAACAAGAGTACAGTACTCCTCAGGATCGTTCCCAGATGGAGGATTGTCTGAAACACCGTCATTGACAACCTTTTGAGAAACAACATCGAAAACATCCACACAATCCACAGTTTGTGTACCAACTACGGATTCATTGTGATATGCTGAGTTAGGAATATCGGATTGTTCTGTTTCAGAAGGTGGATGTCCTTCAGAGGTGGATGGTTCAGACTGCTCATTGGCTGTTGAGGGTTTATTGTAAAAGTCCTGCAAGAACTCGGTAGAATTCCTCTCTTTCTCCTTTGCAGCGTAGTTCTCCAGCCATGCTTTGTCCCCAGGCACGTATCCATGAGCTTTCCTCTTGTGCAGGAAGAGGCTGATGCTACTGAAGGAGGAATAGAAGCAGAGCGCACAGCGGAACTCTTTCAGCTTGGTGTGTTTGCAGTTCTCATGGTTCTGAAGGGCTTGCCTGTAGCAGGTAGTGTATGTGCAGTACTTGCACTCATAGACGGATGGCTGTTTCTCCCCTCCAGAGTGTTTGGCCAACATGTGATTTTGAAGCTCATATTTGCGCTTGCAGGCGTAAGCACAGATCTCACACATGAGTGATTTGGCCTGATGTCGTAACTTGTGGCTATTGAGTTGATCCATGCGGTGACAACGGTAGGAGCACTGGTCACACTGATACCTAGGACAGCAGACAGGAAGATTAGTCATATCCAGGGCAGCGCACCCGCCGCCAAAAAAGGAGCACCGGATCATTTGAAAAAAGCGCATTTGCGCACCAACATTGAGAGAGACAGAGAGACATGAGAGAAGAGAGAGATAGAAAAGAGAGAAGAGAGAGATATTTGCGAGTTGCATAAGAACTGGTAAGACGCGTGACTACGCTGCACGACTGCTTCATGCGCTCCCTGCTGCGAGGCACGGGCGCACCCCCCCCCCCCCCGCAGGGCTGGTCATATCAATATTTATAGTACAGATAATATCAGTAATTCCCAAGGTGGTGGGCCAAGGGAGCGGCAAAATATGTTCATTTATATTTTTTTACTGTACATTTTTCAATTGAGTTCGACCAATTTTTTTCAAAATGGACGAAATAAGCAACAAATCACTGTATAGACAAATCTGTTAAACAATGTCTATCTGCTTTAATCTTAATGTTTTGTTAATTATGTGTACCCAGCAGTGTATTAATAATACCAAGATGAAAACACAACTAACGTTTATATGACAAACTGAAGTATTTACCTGAGGTCTCCAGCATGTTTCCTCATATGGACATTCAGATAGTGTTTCCATTTAGTGACGTATCCACATTCGGCGCACATAAAGTTCTTGTCTTCTGAGTGAGTGAGCATATGTTTAGAGAGGTAGGACTCGTCTCTGCACCTGAAGTCACACTGGCTACACTTGTGGGGCTTCTCACCTGTAACACAAAAAAAGAACAAATCAGAATATGCTGCGCCAAAGTTATTAAAGCTAACCAAACAACATAGCTTAAAATGTAATTATTGTATCTTACCACTGTGCATCAGCATGTGTCTCTTCAAGCCCCTTTTATGCGAGGTCACGTAGCTGCACTGAGAGCAGCGATGGATCTTCTCGTTGGCATGCAAATGTCCAACGTGCTGCTCAAACTCCACGGGGTTGAATGTGACGAAGGAGCAAAAGTCACAGCAAAGCCGGTCGTTTCCTGGGTGACCATTCCTCTGGTGCTGGAGGAAGACAGTCTTATTGGAACAAGAGAAGTCACACTGTGAGCAGTGGTAGGCCAGGTGCGTCTGATAGTGAGCCTCCATGCCTGTGTCACTTTGAAAGATGGCACCGCAGGCGTGATGACGACACTCTACAACCTTGACTCCGTGCACCTCGGCAGAGTGTTTAAGAAGGTCTTTGGGCGAAGAGCTCTGGAAAGAACACCCCTCTTGGAAGCAGGCCACTGGCTTGCTGTCTGATAGGATGTTGTGTGTCTTCATGTGGGCCTTGAGCACCCTGCTCTGGTGAAAGCGCTGACTACAGGTGGGGCAGGGATAGATATCACTCACGCCTTCTGCCTCATCAGCATGCACGCTGGCAAGGTGGCGCCGGATTGCATTCCGCTCCACTGCAGAATATTCACACAAGTGGCAACGGTGAAGCTTCTCACCTGCCTCACGGAGTCGATGTATGCGAAGCTTGCTCTTGCTGGTGAAGTAACGCTTGCAGGTGGGACACTGGAGGCTGGGGTCAGGAAAGTGTAAATGCAGGTGCTCCTGCAGGTGGGAGCGCATCTTGAAGCAGCGACGACACTTGGGGCAGGTGTGGGTGCGATAGGTGCGCTCTGATCCCTCCGCAAGGTACTCTGAGGGAAAAGGACATATGGAATTCATTTGGACATAGTGAAACCGTTTGTGATAAAAGCAAGGATGAAACTAAAATGTAAACTTAAGGGCTGGACACCTAAACAGTGAGCTGAAATTGAATTAAAAGCTCTGTAAAGCCTGTGCTCTGTGGGTCCTTCGCACTGATCAATTCCTTCAAAACTGTTTTCACATCATCATTGGAAATATTGATACAAGTACTGATAATAGCTGCTTAATGTAGATACACTATCAAATCAGATCAAGTTTTATTTAGCACATTTAAAAGCGATTTTTGGTCGAGCCAAAGTGCTGTGCATGTAATAAAAACACATTACTTATTATTATTGGCAAGAAAATCTACAAGAGATTGTACAGTGCAATCAGAGAGATACAGTATGTCCACGTTTTTTGAGCAACAATCACAATAAAAGACAATAATTTACAACAGAAATATAAAAAACAAAAACACAGGGAATAGTCAGGTGTCATGCTCCGCTCTGACTAGAAGGCCAGGGAGAAGAAGTGTGTCTTTAGTGAGGATTGGGCCGACCTCACATGGAGGGGCAGACTATTCCAGAGCCTGGGGCCAGCTGCTGCGAAGGCTCGGTCCCCTCTGGTTTTGAGCCTGGTCTTGGGCACTATCAGCAACAGCTGGTCAGCAGACCTTAAAGCTCAGGCTGGGTTGTAGCGATGGAGGAGTTCGGCTATATAGGCCGGAGCCAGCCCATTTAGGGTTTTGAAAACAAATAAAAGGAGTTTAAAACGATATAGCTTTACGTATGAGGACATTTCTTCTTAGCATGGGCTTTAGTTGCCTATATCAAATCCATTATTGAAAGGGGCATTAAATTAAGCATACAGCCGTAGAGGCGCCATTGAGAACAATTCTAATAGAATGGGTAATAGGGTCCTGCTGAATGGGCGCCTGTATGCCGACAATGCAATTGGACTTTGTTATTTGGAGCATTAATCACTCTTCACTATATATAATAACTACAATATCAACTACTCACTATGAAATATGATGCCGTTTGGTGTGCGTACCTTTGGATGGAGTTGCTTCAGCGTCCACTGTTGAAGGTTTGTCTCTTTTCACTGCTTTTCTCAGTCTTTTCATATTTTGCCTTTGCCTCTCAGACTGTTCTTTATTCATGTCATCTGGTATTGATGATTCATAAGATGGGTCGGATATCAGTTTCCTTTTTGACCTGCTTGATATTTGGGGCTTGTGGCTTTCTTTAGTGCATACAGTAGTTGCTGAAGTGTCTTTACCTGTGGACAGATGTGCCAAAATGGTGAAAATCTACATCTCAGTGACACAGTCGTAGAACTATGGCCAACAAACCCATACATATGCTATTTTTTAAAACCAAACACATGTTAATAGAAAGAAGGACAACATTTTTCATTTTTGTAACATAACACCAATTCTTTATAGTGTCTGTGTTTACCTTGAGCGTTAGGTGGGAAATGCTCCGGGAGGTGGTCCCTCAGGTCTTTTAAATTGAACGTTACAAACTGACACTGAAAGCAGCCGAAGGGCATGTGGCCCTGCGAGTGTCTCTCCATCTCCTCATGTGTGAGGAATGAGTATTTGCAAGCCTTGAATGTGCAAGGAATAAGAGATAGACCATGGTGGGCTTGATATTCCTGACGTCCTGTGTTGCTGAAGTGGCAGCCTTGTTCACTGCAGGGGAGGGGGCCTTCAGGATCATGTTGTCCACTGTGGATGCTTTTGAAGTGGCGTCTCAAGACACCTGGCTTGGAAAAGACCTCACTGCATTGAGAACACTTGTATTTCCCCAATGTTTTTTTGCTGGATGGAGTACATGTTTCAACTCGATTAGATTCCACGGTGGCCATTTTATCTGAAATAACAGTACAGAATATAGTTTTGGTAGATTTTGAAACAAAGAAGACAAACATTTGTAACAGATCAATCTAAAATCATTATAAAGTGCACACTATAATCATATAGGTGAAAGCGTTTTTTAGATTTCTAATTTCAAGCAAATCTTTATTTATTCAGTGCCAAAATTAGTAGAATGGTAGAAACACAGTGGTTCTGTGAGGATTATGCATTCTAAGCACTTAATGGCTTGTAATATTATACATAATACTAAAACCTAGCACATACTATACAAAGTACAAAATGACAGGGTGTTCAATTGGGATTCATGTGGAATTTTCACAACCTCACTTGTGTCAGTTATCATAGGACCTATCATTTCAGTACAATCTAGCTCCAATAAGAGCTGCAGATAGGTGTAGATAGGTGTAGATGGCGTGGATGGTCCGAAGGAACAATGGCTCTATTATATATATATTTTTTTCTTTCAAACGCAACATAAGGGCCTACTCATGCAATCAGAAACATATCTCAGATCTCCAATATTTTTACAGTTATTTAAGGTTAAAATCCACACCCGTTCAATTATTTGAAGTCCAATAAGACAATAAAACATATAGCCTACCTTTTTGGCGTTTAATTTATGGTCAACACCAATATCTCTTCTGTGACCTAAGATTTTCATCGTCATAACTACACTGTAGCTATGTTCGTATGACAAAATAAAAACCTTGAACCTTGAATGTGTTAAACTAAACTGTGCAACTACAGTATCTACAGTGACGTATAATGTATAAGCTTATAACTTATAAGACGATTAATTGTGAGAAGTGGTGTAAAGAAACTAATTAGATTTACTCAAGTACTGTACTTAAGTACAATTTTGAGGGTATTTCTACACCACTACCATTCAGAGGTAAATACCTTTACCAGCTTTGATAACACTTTAATGCATACATAATTATAAAACATATCTTATATATTATTCTGAAATGTAACAATCTGCATAATAAGTACTTTTGGTGCTTGTACATTGATTATACTGATATTGACTATGATTTTGTATTTTTACTTGAGTAACATTTTGAATGGAAGTCTTTTACTTGTAACACTGCAGACAGAGTATTCCTACACTGTGGTTCTTCTAAGATCTGAGTATTTCTTTCCCCCTCTGATTGTCAGTTCATTATCTACAAAATGCCTCTACATGGTAAGACATTGAATCGTTATTTTCTTTCCAAACTGAATGGGAACCTACTGCCTGGGTTTCCGCGGTCCATTCTATCTAGCAAACACAACATCAACCTTTACCAGCCAACAGCATCCAGCTCGTGAAACCCATCTGAGTGTTAGTTAGGAAGGTGTCCTCCTTAATAATGAGAGGTAGTAACCTAAATATCACTTACTTCTTTATGATGGTAGAAAGTGATAATAATACGTTAACAACAACGCAGTTAACGTTAGCTAAGCTATCCTTAGTTAGCCTCTTGGTCGCAAACTGCTCATTTCTTAGTTCCTACGAGCAACTAATTGTCCTATAGGGTCGGTAAAGCTACAAAAAAATGCACAAACGATGTTATTTATGGTCATATTTATCTTAGTCACAATAGCTTGCGTGCAACATTATTTTAAGATAACACTAACAGCGACACGGAATGAATGTTCGAAGGCAAGCGAGCAGTCGGAACTATATTTGCCGAACACAGGAAGTGTAGTAGAGGTCGCATTCATTCAAGTAGCTACGCATGTGGATTTTAGTTGGCTGTTTACACAAGAAACCATAGCCTTTAAAACGGCAGTATGAGATGAAGACAAATAAGGCAAGTCAGTAAGATGTTAGCTTATTATTTATTTATATATGACCGAATTTATTATTAGAAAATAGCATCAATTGGTATTTATTTTATAATATTTCCATTTTGGGCATCAGGTCTTCAGCTACTCTCATATGTATATTATACTATCAGTGTAGTCTCTGGATTGTCATCAAATGAGTTTGTCACACAGATCAGATGAGTTTGCACTTTGCCTGAAGGTGTGTGCTTATAAAAGGTTTTAAAACTACTATAGAGTGTGGTTCCACTGGGGCTGTGCAGACATCAGCATCATGCCCCTGTCAGACTTTCTGGACGGCCTGAAGGACAACCCTTACTTCGGGGCTGGGTTCGGACTGGTGGGGATTGGGACAGCCATGGCAGTGGCCAGGAAAAGCGCCCAGGTTGGGATGATCTTCTTCCGCAGGAACTACATGATCACTCTGGAGGTCCCCAGCAAGGATAAGAGCTACCACTGGCTGTTGAGCTGGATCACCAAACACGCCAAGCACACCCAACACCTGAGCGTGGAGACCTCCTACCTGGCCCATGAGAGCGGACGGGTTCACACGCAGTTTGACTTCCACCCGAGCCCCGGGAACCACATCATCTGGTCAGAAGAGTCCTCTTAATATACCTCCTTTAAATCAACTTTATATGGAAGGCCTGAAAGGAAAATTAGAGAAACACCTGGTGATGTATTTAGTAATTACTTTCTTTAATTCGTTTTATCTCCCGTCTTTATTAAATCATGATTAACAGGCTAATGGGTTTGCCAGGTTAATCACTAATAGTATCTGAATAGTTTTTTTAATCTGTGAAACAGGTTGGGGGGATTTATTTTAACCAGGATTTATTTTCTAAATTATATTTGTTGTCTTTCTTTTAAAATAAACATGTGGAATGGGTAAAAAAAAGTAGGGCAGGTGTCATTTTTGTTTGTTGATGTAATACCTAATCAGACCACTAGAGGCTGAAGTGCACACTTCCCCATGTTCAAATAAGGCTAAAACACAAGATACAAAACACATATCGTTTATTGTGTGTTAGAAAGTTTTATAAAATTACTCTCTTGTCTTTATTTTCACTTTGAAATGTTCTGCCATTATGGAAAACATGAATGCTTTTAGTCTGTTAGAAAATAGGGTTCTGGTGTATTTCAGTGTCTTGTGGCAATTTCTTTTCTCAACCTATTCCACGGATGAAAACAATTAAGGAAGTTATAAGAAAACAAAAAAACTAACAAAACCTTTTGCTGATCATAAATACAGGAGAGAAAATAATTGAAATCAGACTTACAGTAGAAAAGTGTTTCACCAGTGTTTTTTTTCTCACTTTCCTATCAGGGCTTCCATAACTTCAGCATGATACCAATATACTTAAACTGATAACCATTTGTACAGCTTTAATTCCGTTTCTATGGCTTCTCTCTGTCAACATTACATCCTCTAACACTGTCAGGTGTTGTCTTCTGCAGGTACGGCAGGAAGTGGATCAGGGTGGAGAGGACCAGGGAGAAGCAGATGGTGGATCTGCACACTGGCACCCCGTGGGAGTCTGTAACCTTCACTGCTTTAGGCAGGGACAGACAAATCTTCTTTAACATCCTCCAAGAAGGTAAAGGTGTACGTAGCTCTGCAGTGTGTGCATATAACAGAGATGCAGAATACTAGGGCCCTTTCTCACTTCTAACTCCCCTCCTCGACTCCTATCCTCGATACTTAGTCCCGCCCACAGGAGATGCGAGCGGAGGAGCCGAGGAGGGGAACCGAGGAGAGAGGAGGGGAAGCAGCAGGCGATTAGAGAAATGAGAACTCCTCTCCTCTGAGCGGTCATTTTAAAGAGACGTCCATTAATGATGACAGGAGGCACAGCGGCACTCTGTCTGATGGACAGATGTGTTCATGACGACTTATATATTTACTTTTAATTCATTCACAGTGCGGTATAATGAGACAATAACAGGCTACAGATGCGGACATAATACACACACACATATATATTTATATAAATATATACAATTTCAGAATCAAACAAGTATGAGAGCACTCTCATAATGACGTAACACTATCAGAGACTGGCATATCTGTTTAAAAATACAGATGTCGCAACAATAAGGAAAATAAATTACGGGCAAAAAGTTTATTTACAAGTATTAAAGTAAGCAGAGGACACCAAACCAACTGAGACCTTCTGTCCGGGTGGCATCTTTTCACTGTATCAACACACACCTACACACTGTACCACACACACCTACCACACTGTACCACCACACACCCCACACTGTACCATACCACACGCAACCTACACTCCTAAAACAGGCTATAGCGTTGATTTTATTATGTGAAGCACTAAATGGTTTTTAGAAAAATATCACTCCTTGTTTGTTAGATATCTAACAAACTAAAGCAAATAAAGAAGTAGCCTTTGATACTGAGTGATATATATATACCACACTGCTCTGTTTTCTGCACGACCTCAGCAGCTGTTCTGTAAACACTTGCGTCGCGATGAAAGCAGGTTAATAAACATAATATCCAGGGGCATGCATGCAGAGCTGTCATTGGCGAGATAAGTCCGGCCGTGCGCACGAACTCTTTGAAACATCTCTGTTCCCGGAATGCATCCACGAAGGAGCCGTGGAGGACCGTGAGGACCCATCAGTGTATCCTCGTTATAGCCCTCAGAGAGCCTTCCTCGACGCTCGATCCTCGGTCCTCGAAGTGCATTTAGGTGAAATTGAGATGTTCTTCAAATGGCGCGCTGAATTTCATTTTCCAGGTCACGTACGAGATCGAGGAGGGTATTTGATGAAATGACAAAGGGCCTAGGTTTGTGTTGCGTGCTCTTTTCCATTTCGAGGTGATTCAGTGCAGTTTGTCTAACAGGGCGACTCGTCATTAGGGGCAGGTGGCACAGCCCCCCCCTTGTGGTCAGGCAGAAAGTAATGAAAATAATCATTCCAAAGATATGCAAAAACAGATACATGCCTAAAATATGTATTTTACGATCATGGTTGTAGTCATCTGATTGCGTCCTGTACATTGCTGTTTTCAGTCTGTTTCTTTTAATTAGTTGTCCACAGTGTGCATATCGAGCCGTGCTTGAGCCGATGAGGGGCAAAACCAGCCTCCTCTGCATGTAGAAATGAAAATGCGGTGCTGTAAAAACACACTGCGCATGGTCAGTCTTTTTTATTCAATGTGTGCAGCAAAAAAAATAATCACCAGTGGGGGGCATAGTGCTGGCAACTCCCACCAAAACATAATCCATAGGTTTCAGAGCTGATTGGCTTATAAGTATGTGTGCCTGCGGAAAGTTGAGTGAAGAGGTAGACGACGAGAGAGCAGCGATATACGATTAAATCCAGTAAAACGGAAAGGGAAAGTGAATGAAGTTACCACATCTACTTCAGCTTTGGTTGAGTTCAATTTGATGGTCATATCTTTGTTGATCTGCTTTGTTATAGCCTATAGGCTATTGCTCTGCTGGATCGATTGATATTGTGACCTCGGGTGAATGAGTGTCTGTGTTTTTCCTTATTACCCCCATCTAAGTTGTTCGTGCCCCACCCACTTTCTGTATACAATAAAAAGCCACTGGTGTCCTATCATGTTATGCAGCGAGGGAATTGCCATGAAAGCAGGAAGAGGGAGACGGACAGTGATGTACACAGCCATGGTGGCCGAGTGGAGGCCATTGGGTTCCGCGCGATCGCCGACCCCTCTAGCTCTTTGGTTGCTGCATGAGGTCCGTGTCCGGATCGGTATGTCGTATGAAGATGTGAAGGAGTTCATCGGAAACGCGCCAATGGTTTACACAGACGTAGAGGTGGGACTGAGTCACCAGCATTAATTGAACTATGTGTTTTGAGTGATTTCATTTTTCTGTTCTGTCCTGGTTACATAATTCATTGGTTTCTTCATNCCGCCCCCGCCCCCGCCTGTTGACAGTTCAAGATCGTCGGCACACTGATAACAATTTTATTTTTAAATGGCACTTCATATCAAAAAGGTTGCCGACCCCTGTATTAGAGCATTTAGCAGGCAGATATTTCCCTCAGTAATTAGTAAAACCCAAACTAAATGGAGCTCAAAGCGAGTGGCTAATGGAGTAACATTTGTTTGGTGGGCGGAAACATGACATCAATTGGATGCTAATTTTGCTTTGAGTCTACTGGATGTGTAACTAATTGGCAACATGCTCTGCATAACAACTTCATACAATGTGTCAACGTTTTTAAAAAATGGAATGAAATTAAATGAATGAATAGGCCTACTACTTAAATTAATACTGTAATTAACTTGATCCCAAAAATACAACAGCTAAATACTTGAATCCATCCAAGATACAACTCATAAAATGCAGATTTTGCCCAAATGTTGAATTATGATCAGCTGTAGATTTTCTTTGAATAAGCCTTGAGATTTCATATGGCCAGTCCAAAAAATACATCTATCTTGTTAATAATTACTTTGCTGTATATTATCTCAGGTATTATTTGTTCATTTTATACTTTGAATAGTGGTGTTTTATTTACACTGAGGACCTTTTATTGCAGTTTTAACAAAGATTGAAATGGGTTGTAATCAGGGGCAGACTGAATCTATATTATATCTCACAGAATAGGCCAATGAAACATAAATTGCAGATGGAGGTTTGGAGGATAGCAGAATAAAAACACTAATACGGGAGCCTAAATGAAATGTGCAGACAGAACGCTTTCCTATCTTCAGTATATTGAGCTGCACTTGAGGACACTTTCAAATGCAAATTAAACCCTTTATTGAGGAATAATGCACATCCTTTCCACTGGTGCCACCTCAGTGTTATTCTGGATTTGTGTGCTCAACTTTATCCAGAGATTGGACTTTCATCCCTTTGTTACGAGTCGGCTCTGTATAAGCCGCTGGTGTAGATCATTGGATCTCCTTTCAAGAGTACAAAGTCAATTTGCAGGAAATCCCCTTCTATGACAAAATAAATCTGAATATGTTGTTTCCTGCAAGGAAACAAACTGATAGACAGCGGCCCAATCAACACGCTTTCAGAGACAGATCTGGAGGCTCGACCTTGGTGAGTGGACAGACTGAGTTTTCACTTCTTACGTGGGTTAAGCGGATCTCGACTTAGTCCCGGGTGTCTAGCCCTGGTATTTTGGGCCATTCCTGTAGGAAGGGGATGGCATTATTCTACTCCTCACCCTCACGGAAAGCCAACCAGCCTTAAACTGTGCCTGTTCTCCATATCATCGAGTTCTTCTTTTAGTCCAATTATTTCTTCCTCTGTTTGTTAGCGAGGTCTTTGTGTAAAAAGTTGAGGCTATCTGTGATGTTAGCCTGCTTGTCTTCAACTTCTTTCACACGGCACAGAGTTTCCATAGAGACGGTTATATTGTGGTCCAACAAGGCAAATAAGGTTGTCCCTTAACACTAGAACCACCAGGAGTCGCTGTATACCTAAAACCGCCAACGCTATTAGAATGCATTGATTTTCAAGGTACAATGTTCTTTTATTAATCATACTAGAACACAGGGGTCTCGTCTTTAATAAAATGTTATAGTTGTAGTCATTTCAAAGTGACACAGATACATTGGATTAACCTTCAGCAGCGTTTTTATGCGTTTGAATGCCTTGAACAAAACTTCTGATCAGAAAACAGCAAAGGTTAGACGTATTTGCCGTTTCTGCCCCATAAAGTCAAGGTGTGTGTTTTTTTTTGTTTTTTTTTCCTCCCTCTCTCTCTCTCTCTCTCTCTCTCTCTCTCTCTCTCTCTCTCTCTCTCTCTCTCTCTCTCTCTCTCCCTCTCTCTCTCTCTCCCTCTCTCTCTCTCTCTCTCTCTCTCCCTCTCTCTCTCTCTCTCTCTCCCCCTCCCTCTCTCTCTCTCTCTCTCTCCCTCTCTCTCTCTTCTCTCTCTCTCTCCCTCTCTCTCTCCCTCTCTCCCTCTCTCTCTCTCTCTCCCTCCCTCTCTCCCTCTCTCCCTCTCTCTCTACCTCTCTCTCTACCTCTCTACAAGGAACCTCAGTAGTAGACAACAAGCATTGCTATAGCAACACGTCTTTATGTTTACACGCAAAATCAATAACGCGAAAATAACTGCATTTTCTACAAGGTAAATATTACCTGCTGGCGCTGATGGGTATGAATGTTCAATCTGGCTTCATATTGACAATTGTTAACAAAAGAGGGTGCTACATTACACACTTTCAGGAAAAGTCACTGACTGGGAGAATTGATAATTTTATTGAAAATAAGTTACATACAATCAAGAAACAGCTGCGGGTCAAATGTACCCATTGGCAGTTCTAGTGTTAAAAAGATCAAAATGAGAGTTAAAAGCTAACTGATTTCCCTGCGTCCATTCTCTACGCCGACATGTTGGATCCGGTGAGCCGCCACTTCTAGAACATTCCTATTCTCACCGAGATACTGCACTACAACCAGCTCAATGCACACTCCCAATAATACATTCTGAACAAAGCAAATTAGGTTTCCTACTTTTTCTGGTAATACAGCAAATGCATAACCACGTTTTCTATAAGATTAGGGTAACAGTATATAGATTATGAGGCGGTTCAGTTTATTACTAAAGATTTTTTAACTGCTGAAAGGAAAAGTTTTGACGAGGCCAAAGTGCAGCTCTGCCCAGAGTTTCACTTTATTACTGCTGTCAATAGAGAAATAATAACATGTGGTTTACTGTTGCCTAGAGACACAGTGAACAACCCCAATCTTGAGACATGACTGGATATTTTGTATTTGCTTTTACTCACTGTAAGAATGAGCAATACATCAAAAAGGTTCCAGGTTATGTTCCCCTCTGTCTTGTTCCCTTTTCTCTGCTCCTGGCGGCCATATTGGGCTCTCTTCTCTTGACAGCTCATTAGCATGCTACCTGACGCGTCCACGGCCTATCAACTCGTCCAATTACCAACTTAAATGTTAGGAAGTGCAGAACGCAGCAGTGGTGGGAGCAGCATGAACGGTTTGGCATAAGGTAAAAAGAAAACTGATGTAGTAAAATCTTCTGGGCTCACAATTAATAACTCAAAAGTGAAATATTTAAATTATTGATTAGTGACTCTATTAATGTTCTATGTTATCTCTCTGGACTAAAGCACTGACATCTGACAACAAATAGAACATTTAGTACAATCTATTACACAATACACGGTGTACTTTAATGAATATTATTTTTGAATATATTTAGTCAAAACCAGGAAACAGCAAGTAATAGGTTAGCCCGCACATTAGGCTTTGTTTTACAGCTGAACTGTTCTGTTGGCCAGGTGGTCATGTTAGCTTTTTACGAGTTTTAATTAGGTTGGAGACGACTTATCATAGGATTTAGCAGGGAGTATGAGTCAGATATGCCTTGTCAGCTTCTACCAAAACCTCTGAAATCAGGTATACACAATACAGTGTTTTACACAAAAAACCTGGGGCACTGTAAATTACGGAAGAGGATAAGGCCGTGTAAAAATATCTGAGATTAAACTCAGAAAGTCAGAATTCTAATTTTAATCAAGACAAAAAAAAAAGGTCAAATAAAAAAGAAAAAAATGAACCTTTATCCTCTTCCGTAGTAAGTCAATCACTCAATGTTGTTTCAACATGTGTATACTTTAGCCTGTTTCCTCCAGGTGAACTTTGGTCCATTCTGCATATGCAACTGTTCATATAGTGTAATATATTTGAAGTTACTTACAGTACTAACATGTATGTTGTCAACCTTTGTAACTAAAAAGAAGAATAAAGTGGACTGTTTGAGTTCATACCTTTGTGTTATATTTGTCTCGAATAAAAGAGTTTAGAGTAACGATGCATGATGTCAGTTCAAAATCAAATCCTACTGAATTTAATCCACATTTGTACAAAAAAATATACTCTTAAAATTGTTGCCGTCTGTAACGATATCTTTTAAAATTAAGTTTATTTGAGAAGTATTAATTCTGTAGCACTTTTCTCTCACCTTCACTGTAAAAGCAGCTAATTAAAAGCTATAACACACGCAAGCAAACTCTCTGTTTCAGTTGTCTGATATAATTCACGAACAGCCCTTTCTAAATGATTTTCCACGACACAGACTTAATCTGGTGGCAGACCTCTGATGTCTTTACAAATGCTGTGATTGTATGCACAGGCAGGTGAGAGCTTAATCAGACTACTGTATTCTGTTTGACAGGAGCTGAAGACTGTCAGCTAAGACTCCTCAGTGAGGGGGAAGATAAGCATCTCGAGTATTACAGCCATGTGTTAGGATCACTGTAATGATCGCGGAAAAGGTAGGACCCATATGCAGACTACAAAAAACAGAAAAAGGTCTTGAAACAAAAGCGAGCTTCATTTAAAAGCTGATTAACAAAACATGGCATAACTTGAAACGGTAACAGAAAACAATTACACAAAAACTGACCGTGAGAAACATGGAGGAAGACCGGAGAGACAACCAAGAAGTGTGACATGAAGGGAGGACAAACAAACAATGAACCGACAAGGGAACACAGGAAGAGACAAGACTAAATGGAGGGGTAAGCAAGGAACAAGAAACAACTGGGTAAAGGAGGGAGAAACACAAGGGCAACAGGTGAACACAATCTGACAATTAGACACACCAGGGAAACTAACGACAGGGAGGAAAACACAGGGGCTGCAGTCGAATATTCCATTTAGCTTAGGAACCTTCCTAACCGAGTGAAATGAACCGGAAGTCCCTCAGTGGCAGCCATGATAAGTGCCGTTCGAATTCTCTAGAATGATAGGAAAGGAGGTTTCAAACTTCCTTTATAACCTCCTTTAGCTAGGAACCATTGGACCTTCCAAACCGAATGGAGAGGAGAAAATGCTGTCCCACA